AATAAGTTATTACATTTATGTCTTTTTCCTATGAGTTCTTCTATTTAATATTTTAGGGCTATTTTGGTCTATCAATATTGTATTCGTATTTTTATAATAATAAGAAGTATATCTTTAAAGTAATAAAATTACATGGCTAAAAATATGTCCATATCCGGAAAGTAATTATACTAATAGGAAATCTAACGTATTCCTAAAGGTATTAGGTTTACATGCTAACATATAGTATTATATATCTATGTCCGAAACTAATAAGTCTTTTTAATACTTATTTTTCTATTTTTATATTATTACTATTGATAGCTTCAATTGAAAAAAACTCCTACACCCAATAAATTAAAGTCTCGTTCTTGCTTTTAATTCTTATAGGAATCATTGAAATTGTTTTAAATTCTTATGGGAATCTACTTTAATGGTTAAAAGTTAAAAAAAAAATACCACGAAGTTTTAATTGATTTCACAGTCTAAATTTTTGGAAAGTCATAAATATGACTATTCTATCCAACAGATTTGAAAAATAGTTCAATATTTGAAGGATAATAGGATTCTTAAAGGTAATCATGTTGGACTCCTAACTTGTAGTATTATGTCCTAAACCTAATAGGATTACAATGTTAATATCTAAAATTCCAATTATGTCCTTTATTGTAAATTATTATGCTTAATATTAAAAGGTTATTTTTGTAAACCAATATTTTATTCATGCTTTATATATATATATATACATATATACATATATACATACACACACACATAAAAAAAAGTTTTAACTTTATATATACAATATAATTTTTCGATGATGAACTCCTTTCAGTCCCCTAGCTCCGCCCTTGCTGCCGACTTCCTATGTCATAAACTTCCAAATTTTGTTCCTTTTTCTCTTTTTTTTAAAAATGAAGTAGTATTTATTGGCTTTTATATCTAATCTTTTTTGGTCCCTCTTTTCTTTTTTTTGGCGAATTTTGTTGGATGATGTATAATTTTTATTTCTAAGTTTAAATTATATGGTATAAAAAGAATTTACATTATCAATCTATTTAAAAGTAGAATACGTTTATCAGGTTAGGGGGGGGGGGGGGGGGAATTCGTAAAACACTACAGTTACGAAATTAATCAATGCGAAATATAGGCGAATACAACCAAGACGAAATACAAGAATATAGAAAAATAGAATACTCTCATTAAGAGTCGAACTCAAAACCTCCACTTATCAAGCGAGTGCTCTAACAAACTAAGCTATGAGAGCTTTTTGCTCTTTTTTTCGGTTCAAAATAGTTGATCTTTTGTTTCAATACAGATGAATTTGCTATAAAATTAAAATATAGCTATGAATGGTAATTTTATAAAAGTATAGCTGCAAACGGTAAATACAATGTATATAAAAAAACTACATTTATCATCAAATATCTCCCAACCAAATATTATCTATGGGAGCTAGAACAAAGAATACTATCATGAATTTTAGTACTTAGAGTTGTCAATCTTTCAAGTCGTCCTTAAGACCTTGCACCATTTGTTGTCTATACATAGTTAAATGTGAAAGGGTGAAAAATCTAACTGACACAGTGAATCATGTCTGTCAATGGTTGCATATAGCCCTTTATTGAGGGCTCTGATCAGGAGTAATTTTATGGTGTGCCTCATATAACTGACATTAGTTGTGTGAGGTATCTTTTAGTCTCAGATATTTGTGGACTCATATCTTATACATTTGGGTCCACAAAATTCCGAGACTACAAAGTTGTGAGACAAAAAAAAAAAAATCGCACACAACTAGTGTCAATTGTGTGAGGCACAAAATAAAATTTTTCCTCTCATCCGGAAATAATATTTCTGAACTTTCGATCAACATGACATTCATGCCTGTTTGATCAAGCCTTGGCACTACCAATTTGAGATCTCCAAGCGGAAAATACAAAAGAGAACTTTCACGAGAGCAGCAGGAGTACTGGCTCTTATGTCCTTTCCTATTCACTTGAAATATACTCGTTGCTTTTGTACTTGATGGCTTCTAAAAATTATTAAAGTAATTTTAATAAGCGCAAAAATAGAATATGTTGTAGGAGACTAATTTTAATGGTTTTCCTAAATTTAAACTCGTAATACTATGATTCAAGTTTTAGTTAATTAACACCCCCAGTGGCGGATCCACACTATTAGTTACTTTTTCGTGAATTCAGTAGGTATGGGCCAAAATCCATCTTTAGTAGAAATAGTATCAGTAAAAGATTCTTGGGACACCACGTGTCGAAGTGATCTAATTATCATCAAAGGTCGTTGTCGATGAGTCGGCAAGGCGGAAGTCGAGGAGATATCATCGAGACCGAGGTCGAGTGCCTTTGACAGACTTATAACGGCTAGTTTTAAGATAGGACTTAAAGGAGAATAGTCTAGTGGATAATCTCTGAACTTGTACTATTAGAGTTTCTAGGAATATGTTCCTATAAATAGAAAGAGACACAATGATAGTGACAGGTGATATTCATTTGTAAGTAAAGAAACATCACCTTTTCACTAAGATTCTCATCTACACTTTTCCACTAGATCCGAGAATAACTCAGATATTCAAAGGATTGTCCGTCACTCATCATTCTAAGATTCTCATCTACACTTTTCCACTAGATCCGAGAATAACTCAGATATTCAAAGGATTGTCCGTCACTCATCATTGTCAGAAAGAACATTCACTGTTTACACCTGGGTGACTCATTCGTTCTTTTACTTAAATGTCATTTATTGTTATTCATTGATATTAAACGCTACATTATTGTCTTTGATTTCTGGAAAATTTATTGCATGTTGCCGCCTAATCCAAATATACCTACATAGTAATTGTTACACTTTCAAGAACTCCATCTTAGGGATATTATTATTAGTTAAAATTAACCTTCATTTATATAAATTTAATTATTTGAACCAAGATAAATATTTATTGGTCAAACAAGTAGCTTTTGCTCATATATATGTGTGTGTATGACTGTACCTAATTATTATTGTAGTATTAACTTGAACGCCGTTTTAAAAACTCATATGTAAAAATCAAATTCTAGATCCACCTCTAAATAATCTTCTATAAATCGGTAGGATTATGGCGGTATATTTGGTGATGCGACAAAAAAGAGGAATCGGAAGTTTTTGGTATTTAAGTTTCAAAATTGAGATATTCTTTTATTCTTTCGGAGGCTCAAAAATAGTAAAAGATTTAGGATTTCCTACAAGAACTCTATCCCTCTTGTTTTTTTTTCTTTTATATAAATATGCAGAAGTAATGGAAAGGTTTAATCATTCAATAAGCCAGATTTAAATCATCTCTTTCTCTCTCCATTTTTAGGATTCATAAATATTTCTCCTAAAATATTCTCCTTTACATTTTGATATTTCAGGGAGAAAACAGGAAAAAGAAAAGCAATATTTACCATGAAAGGAGCAGCAGTTATAGCCACTATCACCTCAACAACAACAAACATGACAATGCTGTTGTTCTTCGTAATCGATGTCTCAAATGTAGCAGCAGGATTTCCAGACACAAAGACTGTTGTAGTAACCAACAACCACACAAATTATCTAAGCATCCGATGTTTCTCCTTTGACGACGATGGCGCAGTTAGGCATCTGAATAAAATGGGCAGTTTCAACATCAGTGTTGAAATCAGGAAATTCTTCCCTTCTTCTACCATGTACAATTGCTCCACAAACATGGGAACTTTCGTCGCCTTTCAATCCGACTATGAATGCATTAGTCATTCAACACCTTGTGAATGGAGGTTTGATGAAGAGTTCACATATCTCTACAATCCCAAGGATGAAGAGTGGGTTATTCATGAGTATAATCCCAATTATGAGTCCCTTAAAAGAGGAGGAGTCATCAAAGGGTATTATGTTAACTAAAAGTAACAGAAACAGACGAGCTTAAATGGAACAACATAGCCAGTGAAGATTCAGATAGTCGACTCCAACTTGCTTCGACCATCAGAAAGCTTCACAAAATCTACGACTAAAGAATGTACCTAGAGAATGTCTTATAGATAGGGTAGAGAGAAAATTAAGGTTGGTTATGACATGTAAGATAACTAGAATATTTAGTGAAAGATTGTAGAAAATTGTAGCTGAAGCTGAGGAAGGGGAGCTTTGGCGTATCTGGTAAAGTTGTTGCGATGTGACCAGGAGGTCACGGGTTCGAGCCGTGGAAATAGTCTCTTGCAGAAATACAGGATAAGGCTGCAAGGCTGTGTACGATAGACTCCTGTGGTCCGGCCCTTCTCCGGACCCCGCGCATAGCCGGAGCTTAGTGCACCGGGCTGCCCTTTTTCGTAGCTGAAGCTGAGGTCCCTTTAGGAATTCAACTTGGGACACTGCAAAGCTTCGTGGATAGCTTAGCTTCCTCATAAGCAAGCTATGTTTAGTATGTAATAGTTGTATCCTATCATGTATTCATCAAGTGATAAATAAATTTATCAATTAATCCACACTTTGGTAGCCACATACAGAATTGGTACAAAGCCTTAACCAAGATGTGGCAATTAACTGATACCACAAGCCGATTTGGGACTCCCTTTCCATCAGTCATTGTTAGGAATGCCTTCTAAAACCATGAATATAATTGTGAAAAAGGAGCAAAGAAGTACCACAATGTCAACATCTCGTTGGAGTATGTGGTTATATCTCAGCCTCCCTTCTTGTTGTGTCATAGTTGTGTTTTGAGTTCAAAGATTTAAGATGAATAAGACTAGCTAGGCACAGAAGTGAATCCAAACTTAAGCTTTCTACCACTTCTTTGGTGCAGTGAAACACGTGTTTTATCTTCGTCTAGTATTGTCTTTCCACGTTCTGATTCCTTCCAACGACCTCAATTTAGGACGATTCTTCCTTTAAACTTGAAGCAATCTCTATAGGCCAGCTCTGTGACATGTCTTAGTATTTACCAGCTTATAACTCACAAGTTACAACCAGAGGATTTCAAACTTAGTATTTGGATCACAGTGCATTTGTTATGTTTGTTCTCAAGAGAATTCATCAGCAGGTTGCGCATCAGAAACATACTCTTCCAATTTAGAGAGCAACATAATCTCATCGAGCATTCTATATATTGCCCGAGATTGGGGGTGTGAGTCATCAGCAACCACAAATTCGTAAAAATTACCATCGACCTCCATCAAACTATATCCTGGATTCTTCTTGACGCCTTTAGCTCTCATCAAAGTTCTAACCATTCTAACATCAGCCCATTTCCTCTCATCTGCGCACAGACTTGCAAGAAGCACATAAATACCACTATCTTGAGGATCTAATTCTATAAGTTTCTCCGCAGCGACCTTGGCCAGCTCAACATTTCCATGCATCCGACAACCATTAAGCAGAGCACCCCAAACAGCTTTATCGGGTTCCATTGGCATTTGTTTTATAAGATTATAAGCTTCTTTCAGATGCCCAGATCTACTCAGTAAATCAACCATGCAAGCATAGTGTATTACCTCAGCCAACAATCCATTTAATTCCATACTCCTAAAGTATTCCCAGCCTTGATTGACCAATCCACCATGAGCGCATGCCGATAAAACACCCACAAATGTGATGCTATCGGGCTTGAATCCCGTACATTTCATTTGTTCAAAAAGATTGAGGGCCTTCTCGGCGAGCCCATGAGAAGCACATCCTACGATTACTGAATTCCAAGAGACCAAATCTCTTTCTGGCATTTCGTGAAAGAGATCTCGAGCAACATCCATGCTTCCACATTTGCCGTACATGTCTATTAATGCGTTTGCCAAGATCACGCTGTATTTAACCCGTTTTTGCTTAATATAGTAATCATGAATTCGTCGAGCAAAATCCAAAGAACCAGATTGAGCACAAGCAGAGAGCACAGAAACCAAAGTGCTCTCTATGGGAACCAAACCTTGTTTCTCCATTTCATGAAAGAGTTCAAGGGCCTCCCAAGGTCTATTATTTTGCGAGTAGCACGCAATCATCGCAGTCCAAGAAACTATATTTCTCTCAAGCATATCACTAAAACACTTTTTGGCCATGTCTACCTCCCCATTTTTGGCATAACCGTGGATCATACTTGTCCAAGAAAAGACATCCTTTATTTCCATCTTATCGAAAATCTCTTTAGCCATAGGCAAACAACCACACTTCACATACATATCCAATACAGCATTCATCAAATTAAGACTGCATTTCACACCTCTTTTCTCCACGAGTTCATGAACCGATTTCCCCAAACTCAAATCCCCCTTCAACGAACACGCAGAAAACACCGTTATCATCGTTACATCATTAAACTCAACACCATTTGAACACATCAACTCAAACAACCCCAATGCCTCATCAACCATATTCCTCTTCACATACCCATCAATCAAGCTAGTCCAGGTAACCACATCCCTTACAGGACTTTCATCAAACACCTTCTGTGCATCGACCACTTTCCCGCTCTCTCCATAAAAATGAATCAAACCATTCCTCACAATCAAATCATTGAAGAATCCAACTTTCCAAATCCTACAATGCACTGAACCTCCCACCCCCTCCAAAACACTACACCCTTTCAACACAAAAACATAACTCCTCTTGTCCATTTCAACACTTTCCCTTACCATTCTCCTAAAAAAACAAAAACCCTTTTCAAAGAGCTGATTTTTAACATAACCTCTAATCATAGTATTCCAAATATACACATTGGGTTCAAGAACTTCAGAAAACAAAGCATTTGCATAGTGTATATCCCCATTAATATCCAAAGCACAAAAGGATATGAGTCTACTGATTGGAAAAATGTGAGAACTTATGCCAGTGTGTATCATTTTGGCTTGAATTTGCTTTAGTTGTGACATTGAATTGCAAGATTCTATGAGGATAAGAGTTGGGTGGGTGATTACAAGATTTGGGTTTTGGTTTGAGTTCCATTTTGGTTGTGAAGAAAACAATAGCTTGTGAAAATGAGGGGAAGACTGGATTTTTTTTAAGAATGGAAACTGTGGGAATTTCATAAGAATAAGGAAAGAGGTGAGTGTTGTTCATTGATTCTGCAACAGCTCTTTTATGAGTGCTCAACAAACTGTTTTTGGCTGGTCAAATTTTTAGGAGGCAAGAACCAAATGTGTACCTCTTTTGCATAGTTGAAGACTTAAGGGACTAATTCGGGCTTATTCTCATAGCATTTTATCACATAATTGCTCATTCTTTTATTTGTTTGCTAATTCTTGTATTTGTTATAGTATCACATTGGAATGGTAGTATACTGATATTTACTGTACTGCAATTGAAGTGGTAACTAACCGTTGTAAAAATCAATACATATCTATATTAGGGCCGTTCAAAATCGAACGGTAACTCTTACTCGAACAGTAAAAGTGGCTTATTGGCTTATATCGGGTTATCGGATTAACAGTTGGTAAATGGATTGAAATTTTATAATTAATAGTTATCGGTTCGGGTGCTGATTATTCAATTTTCTTATCAGATAAATTGTTAAGTGTTAACCCGTTAAGAATTATTATATTTATATTTTTACCCACTATGAAGCAACTTCTTAGCAACTTGAGCTTCAACGTCATCGTAATTTATTTTTGGGTAGGACTAGGCAGATCTAGATAGTTCTTGATACTTTTCTGCTCAAATAAATCACTTAACTTGGTAACTGAAGCAAAACTATATCAAGAATTTATGTTAAGTGAATTTCTATTTTTGATTAAGGATCTTCAATTGTATTTTAGCTTGCTTATAATAAAAGAATTAAAGAAGAAGAAGAAGAAGAAACTACCATTAACAATGAGAGCTTCATTAGCATAGTGAAGTGTGATTGTGATTAGATCATTTATCTATTATTTACTGTCTTGCTTACGTATGTAATTTTTATTGTCCATTTGATTTAGCCGATAAATCGCGCGATAACTGTTGGATAATCGCTAATCTGATATCGATATGCCCGATATCTTATCGGGTGGCTAGCGGATTAGTACATTTACAAGCCGATAACAGATAATTCTAACCGCTAAACGTAAATATCCGCTCAATAAACAGCCATAATCTATATACATGGATTACTTGCCTTAGTGAACCCATAGATGTCGTTTGGTTTAAGAGATTAGGTGGGTTATCTCGGTAAAATTTTAAATTAAATTTATCTCGTGTTTTGTTTGAGGTATTAGCTAAAACTGATATTATTTTATACCAAAATCTTGGTATAACTTATCTCATTTAGAAGGTGAGATAAATTGTTACTGTTATAATCCTAATTTTAATGTTAGGATTTTAGGGAGTGTTTGGTATAATGGAAAATATTTTTCGTGGAAAATGTTTTCTTGGAAAATAAGTAGTAATCTTATTCATTTTCCGGTGTTTGGTACGAAAATTAGGGAAAATGACTTTTCAAGAGTATTCATAAATAACTTAGATATAATAAACATGAAGCCATAAACTTTCAAACCAACAACCTTCCGAACCCACAAATTTCATAAACTTTTGAACCGCTAAACTTTCAAAAACGCGGAATTTCGAACCCATAAACTTTATAATTCTAAACCCGTAAACTTCGAAACACATAAACCTCCGAACTCATAATTTTGGAACTTGTAAAATTTTGAACCTTTAAACCGATAAATAAAAAATTAAAACCGATAAATAAAAAATTAAAACTGAAAAATATATTTAAAAATATTGTTTAGTGGGGTGGGGGCAGGAGAGGGGGGCAGTAAAACTAGAAAAACAGAAATTTAAATTACAAAAAAAAGTAAAAAAAAAAATTGTGCAGGGAGGTGGGGGTGGTAACAGAAAAACTGACTTTTGAAAAAAAAAAAAAAAAAAANNNNGAAAAACTGAAATTTGAACAGAAAAAAAAATCTTTTTGGAGATGGGGTGGGATGGGTTGGTGAGGGTGGGGAAGGTTGAGAAGGAGTTTTGGAAAATGCTTTCCTTCTCTTGATAAAGAAAACTTTTTCCTCCAATTGGAGGAAAATGAATTCATAAGGTTAATGTTTTCCAAAATATTTAAGCCAATCAAACATGGGAAAATTAGAAAATATTTTTCGGAAAATATTTTCTTTTGTACCAAACACACCCATAATCATGGAATATTTTGATTTTGAACCAAATAACCCCTCATCTAGTTATTGGGATAAAGATAATCTCGATATAAATTCAGGATAATTTTTGTCCCGTATTTTATCGTGGGTATTAGCTAATACAAGATAAATTTTATATCAAAATTTTGATATTACATATCCCATATAGGAAGTGAAATTATAACCCCGGATATCCCTGCTCTGAACCAAATGATCCTTTAAAGTTAATTTAAGACAATTAATTTTGAAATTTTGGGTTATTATTTTAAATTCTAATCGGTAACCACAAAACTTTTATTTTACCCAAAAAGAAAAAGTGAATATTGGATTTACATCTGGTGCAAATGATCTACACCCTAAACTTTGCTTTAAAAATTAAATTTCCCCTCAACTTTGAACAATAGATATTATCATCCTTATTTCTCAGTTGACTTTTTTAAAAAGTACATTTTACCCTTTATATTATCATCATTTCTCTCTCTCTTCTTTTTATTTTTTTAAATATCATTAAAAAAATTAAAAATCTATGTTATGAACTTACCTATCTAATAATTAAATCTCATATTTAACATTTAAAAAAAAGAATTAAGCATATAATTTAATGATGTTGAATAGTGAAAATAATTAACGGATAAAAAAATAGAACCTTCAAAACTATTAAAATTGGAGATATATTATGTAATATCAACTACGCCTCAATTCAAACAAGCTGGGGTCGGAAATATAAATTTTAATTCCTTTCATTTAGCTCAATTAATATCATCATCATTATCAAAATAAAATAATGGTGTAATATATGTATGTATGTATGTATGTATGTATGTATGTATATACATATATATATAGCACTTGTCACACCTCCTTTTTCCGCACCCGAGGGGGCGCAAGGAGAGTTTTTTCCAATTAAAGGACAATCGAAACGGGATTGGTTTAATTATTTCAGAGTCGC